TTTCACTTATCATAAGTATACTGGAAGCTTCCAAGTAGAAAGGTTTAAGCTCCCCACCTCACCCCTTGACACACAGACACACTCACTGACAAAACATGCACACTGGGTGTATATGCACACACATGTGAACACATTCAAAAAAGCACATACACATGCCATCATACACTGACACACAGACTCATACACACTATTGCATGTATACATGCAAGCACATACATCCATGCATGAACAACTGGACACTTGAACACTCTTGCACAGAGAGCCTGTGAGCCACTTAGAATTAATTTTTATATATTATGTGTATGTGTGAGTTTCTTTTTTGTCTTTTTTTGCATACAGATGCCTATTTATTAAAATGTCAGTCCTTTCTTCATTGAATTGCCTGTCTTTGTCTAAAGCTGTTGTCTGCTTTCTGTTCAACTTATCTATGTATTTAACTTTTCACCAATTCTATACTTTCTTCATCACAGTAAATTTATAATATATCCTAAAGTTGGAAGTATGGATCCTTCAACTTTTTTCTTCTTTTCCAATTTTTTTCTGGCTAATCTATTCATTTATCTCTCCATCACTTTATTCGTGTCTATATAGATTAACAATGGGATGTGGATTAGAATTATATTGAGTTCATAAATTAGGATGAAAATAACTGAAATTTTAACAATATTATATTTTAAATCCTTTCAAACTGTTCACCTTGTCATTTATTTCAGTCATCCTTTGTCTGAATTTTATAAATTTAGAGTTTTGTTTCTGAAATGTATCTCGTTTCAGCTGTTCTCCAGTTCTACCCACATCCTTTTCTCTTTTTCATTTCTTTCCTAGTTCTCCTATGCTACATCCCCATGGAATCATCCCTCCACCTTTTTACAAAATCCCTGTACCGATGATGGTTTATAGATAAGAGATAACTTCCTCAACGTCACTATAATCCTCTCATCCAGTGCAATTTGGAGTGTGCATTTATATCTATATCATCTTGTCTCTCTTAATGCTCAAAGCACCATGTGTTGTAACTACCTTCATTTTTATTTATTCCACCAGCCTGAATACTCTTTAAGGAAAAGACCATGCATGATTTTTTATTATATCCCTGTCATATGACACAGAACAAGAACTCTATTAATTACAGTTAATTATAAAAGTAGAGGAGGGAAAGAGGGGGGAAGAGACCAGCTAACAGTTATTGGGGCCCTAATCTGTGTTAGTCACTATGTCAAGATAGAGTTAATTGATTGATAGTTAAAACTTAATTGAAATAAATATTTATTTTTATATATGCAACAGATAGCCATAAAGGTATAAGGACGGAAGGAAGGAGATACATAAAAATGGATGGCTGAGAAGGACAGGCAGACAGGTAGATGGGTTAGGTAAGCATACAAATTCTAAAAAAAAAAAAAAAAAATTGAATAACTCCCCTCTGTGTAGATAATAAAATAGATTAAAATGGGTTTAGTGACTTCCCCAAGACCATGTTTATATGCATTAAGCACATGTGGAATTTGTTGGTAAATGATATGATGTAGGAAATCTAATTTTATTTTTCCAAATGGGTTGTCAATGTAATTTTTGATATTGCCCTTTCCTTACTGGATTTCTACAAATTTGGGGGATTTCCTGCATTTATTATAAGATAGCCATGATCTTTACCTCGGGTGTCAGGACAGATGATTCTCAAGGGTTTTATTGAAGATATCTATTTCAAACAAGATTCTGGAGTCTATGTTGGTGCTGGTGTTATCAGCTTAGTTGGATTAGTGATATCAGGCCAGCTTCTTTGAAAGTCTCTATTTTACTCTCATGAAGACAGACTGGCACAGCATTTTGTGTTACATCACTTTTAAGATGGGAAGAATGGGATTCTATGTGTGCCCTTTTGATAAGAAAAGAAAATGGTTAGCAAAAAAATAGCCAGTAGATATCTTCTTGCATTTTGGGTGCTTGTGGAAGAGGAAGAACTGGTGATCTAGATACTTTCAGCTGCAAGAAAAGCATATAAAGCAGAAATCAGAATTGTCTTGATTGGCTTAAACCAATCATGACTTATTACTTGGGACTGAGAACATTGCAGTCAAGAGCAAAAGCAAATATCTGTCAACTAACAAGGGGGATGGATATTGAATAGGAAATCCACAGCACCTGCCACAATCACACAAATTCAAATTCATGTGTTCACTCTCTCTCTCTTTCTCTCTCATTCACTCTCTTGTGAACATATCTTTGCATTTCCTATTCTCTTCCATTTGTCTGTGATCTGTCTGCAGCACACCACTGCTTTCATCTGAGTACTTTTATGTTTCATATGTGGTAGGATAAGCTTCTGCTTTTTATCAAAATTACTCTGGGATTTCTTACCTAATTTTTTTTCTAAGTTTTAGAAATGGTTGATTGCCATAAAAATTCTCTTGTGATTGCACTGAATTTATTATAAATGTTGAGTTGATGTCTTCAAACATCCTTAAAGGCATAGTCTTTGCATCCATTTATTGTTTTTCCATTCTTCAAGAAGGATTTGTTTTCTAGAGAAAAAGAACCTGATCCACTAAAATTTACCTTTAAAAAGTATCTTTCCCCAGGTGAAGGACTAAATAAATTGATTAAATTCAATAGCTAAAATACAAACCTGATTACTGAGTTGTTTGTAGTTTTTTTTTTAAACCCTTGTTAGTGGCACAATGGTCAAGTCCAGACACACATTATGCAGTGTAACAGCTAAATTTGTGAAGCTGGAAAATAAAGGCATAAATCTTTCAAAGAAAAGGAATCTTGCAAGCATGCTCCAGTGCTGGAGACTTGGAGTTCTGCAGGGAAGCTCTGCCATAGGTTTGCAAGGATGAGATGTTCCTGATTTCCAAGTACCTCTGGAAGGTGGACACTACCAAATATGGGATGTTACACAGTTACAAGGATGGAGTTGTCCTTGATACATCAGGACAAGTGCTGCTGTGTTCAAGTCTCACCTTCACATTTAGTCTTTATTATTTCTTGTGGATTATTTAAGAATTTCAAAGTCTGTACTATCAGTTCATGGAAGGCAGCATGGAAAAATATTCTTTAACTCTGAGAGTCACATGTCCTTGAGGGTACCCACAGCTATACACCTGTTCTCATGATAAGAACCCTTGAGGAACTGAATGTTTCATTGACTTATGTGTCATTTCAGTGACCTCAATAGAAAACCTCAGTAGGTCTACATTCATAATTATTCCCAAAATTAAAATTTTAGGACAGACTTTTCTCCCATTTTTGCATGCTGGAAGAAAATCATTAAAAGGTGTGATTGAGTGTCAACTAAGAGAATTATTTGCTTCTTATCATGCATCTATCCCAATAATGTATTTCAGATGCTTTGGCCTGAGAACATGGGCAATCCATGTAACATTTTAAAGGATGTTGATTAGCAACCTTTGGGTCAAAGTAGATCTGTGTGGAAGTGATTACTCTGCCACAGGCTCTGTGAGCATCAGTAAAATGGAACAAAACCATCTTCCTTGTGGAGCTGTTATCCACCCTGACCATGAAGTACAGTTGATGTCACTGTGGGCACTCCTCAAGTACTAGTTATCTTCTTCATTTAGACATCAAGAGGATTTAGACCCATGAGAAAATTTTCTCTTCTTGTGTTACTCCATTCAAATACTTTTGATACACCATTTGTTTGATGCTTCTGGGAAAAGAAAAAAATTGAAAACCAAGATAAAATATAGGGAAGTATAATGTAACATAATGGAATCCTCTAGAAATAGAAAGTCCAGAGTGCATGGCTGTGGGAATGAAAAAGTCTCCCCAAGTTGAGTAGGTAAAGCAATTACATCCATTAATTATAATTGAAGTTTTTTAAGGGAAACTCACATACAGGTTCTTTGGTACTGGGACTGCAGGAACAGGAATTTGGGTCAAGGGAGGATCCACACCATCCATCCTTACAGGGGTCTTCTTCTTCTTTTTTTTTTTTTTTAAGATTTATTTATTTGCGCATACAGAACTGGGATACAGGCCAGAGGCTCAGGGGTGGCGAGAGGCTTCACCAGAGACAGAGTGGGGAGCAGAACAGGCAGATCGATGAAGTACACTGCTGAGGGGAGCAGCGGGCAGGTCAGGAGAGGTCTGCCACGCCATGTGGTCACCTCCGGGGCAGGCGGGAATTGAACTCATGCAGAAGTGGCTTTAGCTTCTTAGTGCTGTGCTTTAACCCACTGTGCCACCAGGGAGGGCCTCAGGGGTCTTCTTATACCCCTGCTTAACACATATGATCAAACTCATATAAGACTACTGATGTTAAACAAACATATCTGCTATCCAGGGGGACATATTAGACATATCTTTGCTTACTAAGACTAATAAGAGTTGTATGTGCCTTGTGAGTATAGGTAAATACACATAAAGAAAACCATGAAGATAATGACTATCTTCCAAGGTAGGACAAATATAAATTATGAACCTAAGATAGTGTATATACAAGGTGGAGCCACTCTGGTTCCCTAGGAGGGCAATTTCCAAAGGATAAAACTAGAGTAGTCTGTAAAAATGCTCTTTCCAAAGGAAGCATTTCAAACAGATTGATTCACAGGGAATAGCTACCAACTCTTCAGTTATCTGATGACTCCAGTGCTTTTGGTTGTTTCAAGAGAAACTTCCAGTTTTCTTTCAAGTATATAGCATTGACTATAACACTTGACACATTGCACATAAAAAAAAAGCACAAGTCAGCCTAATTCATCAATATCAAAGTAAAGACTTTCAATAAAAATTAGCAAACTGAATCAAAAAACACATTCAAAAATACCAATGAAGGATTAAAGGGATTTGTTCCAGAAATATGAGTGAGGTTCAATATTAAGAAGCTCTTTAATAGAATTCATCATATGTAAGTATCTTAAGAAAGAAAATCAACATCCATTCACAGTAAAACCACTCAGTAAAGCTTATGGATATGTTGTCAATTTTAATTGGAAATACAAGGTAACATCTTATTCTCTGATTTGTCTACCAGGTAGAAGTGGTGAAAAGAAGAAGCTCTCTGGGCCAAGACTTCTGGAGAGAAGAAACAATCAATCTCTTAATTGGTACCATATACATTAGGTAAAATAATTACCTTATTTTCTAGCCATGCCAACCTAAAATTATTCCCAAGTAGGAGTTGTGTGCAAGATGGCATAATGTCAAGGAACGTCTCTGAGATAACTTACTCCTCCCAGCCTTATCCCTAGTCCCCCCCCCCCATGCTTACAGGTGCCCAACTGTGTGTGCTTGAGGAGACTCACCAGTATGTCCCAGCCCCTCTGAAGGGTAGAGCTGGGCTGGTATCGGGCTATGGTACCTATTCTAAAGCACCAGTGGTCATCACAGGTCCACCCTCTACCCTCCCCCAGCTCAGCCCCTCCAAGTGGTTATCCCAAGAGAAGGAACAGAGGACATGGGATTGAAATTCACCCCACAGTGTGTGAAATCAGTTGTATACTTGCTGGCATACAATTTTTCATCATCTATACTGAAGTCAACATACTTTCTGTAAAGGTCCAGAGAGTAAAAATTTAGTTTTAACTGCTCAATTCAGCTGTGAACAAAAACAATTACAGACAATACATCAGTGAATGAGTGTGGCTGTGCTCCAATACGACTTAAGATATTTATTTTTACAAAACAAAATGTTGTGCACCACCATCGGCCCACAGGTCATAATATGCTGATCCCTTATGGACGCAAACACAAGAAGGCATTTGCATTTTTTTCAGCCATGATGAGCTAACTATCCACCAATGAACCAGCACTGATCACTCGTGTGAGTCACTCTCATGTACTATGGGTTCATCTTTTCTCCGCAAGTTGACTGCACAGTCAGCCTGTGGTCAGAGGAGTGGCACCTGTCTAAGAGGGCTGAGCTGCCCAGATCAATCCCCTTGCTGGGCTGTTACTGTGACCATGACAACTCTTAGAGAGATGGCAGTTTAGAGCCATCTTCATCCAACTTGGCATTTCAATCAAATTCTGGACTAACTTAAAATCTTTCCCAAGAGCCAGGTGAGGGATGGTAGACTCACCTATAAAGGCATAATCTGGACATGGCAGGCAACACAATTCCACTGTGGAAGTGGTCCCCATCTGTGTAACCTGGAAAAGGATTAGAAATCTCATGATCCAACTTAACTGAGTCATATGCAGGTGTTTGGGGGCAGAGAGATTGTTTTGAACTAATGTAGTCAGTCTTCTTTTCAATCAGTGGGAGCTGGCATTGGCATTGTTCCAAGGGGTTGTATTTGAGTTTGACTTTGCAATTTAGTAATATCTTATATGAATAATCAGGCAATTCCCAAACCTGCTCAAAGATATGTCACAGTTGGTGGGAGTGGTTCCTCCTCTCCACCATGTCTCTGCAGATGCTCTTGCTCACATCACCACTTCCGTCACATGATAAGATGCTTCTCCCTTTGGTCCCGCAGATGGATGGTTTCTAGTCTGCTTCCCAACCCCACCTCGGCTGAGTGTTGGGCGGCCCTTCTACATGATCATATGACTCTTGATATGGACGCAGTCCTGTCAGACTTTGTTCGGTCCACGGGGGCAGAACCTGGTCTGGCCAGAGACCTGCTGGAAGGTAAGCACAGCTCCTTCCCACAGCACCGCCCTCTTGAAAAGGTGTCTGTTACCTCACAGCTGTGGTAGTTGGATTCTATAAAATTAAACAAGGTGTTGGTAATGAAATTATTGATAGTCTTGACTTTATCCAAGCATGGAGCAAATACTCAACTTCTTACAGTAAAAGTGCTGAGGCATTCACTAGGATTTGCTTTTCATTGCCACTTATTATAGATATTGACTAAAATTTTATCGATCATTATTTTTGAGGTAATATATTCACATTATATACTATAGCACATTCAAGAAAAACACTTTTATTGAAGATCTTAGTTTCTTATACCTGTCTTAAATATGACAAAAATGCTTTTAGCAAGTTTTTGGTGATAAAAGCCATTTGGTGGCCAGTAACTTCAATGGGGATAATTCACAAGCAAGAAGGTAAAATTCCTCCTTAGGCTTTTCCAATAATGACATTTCCTACATGAAAATGTACATAGTCTGTGTGTAGAAAGTTTTCAGATAGTTACTCAGCAGTAATCATGATGACTTGAAAATTAATGTTTAGTTTCTATCTGTATAAGGACTTTTAAAGAGTGTGTTTGTGTGTGTGTATGTGTTTGCAAGGTGAGAAAAACCAATTACAACTTCTTAGGACAATCAATTGCATGAGACAAGAGAATTTCTAAGTAATTACTCCTTGCCTCAAATATATAAACTGTTATTTTGGAATTAGTAATTACTTAGCTAAGTAGTATAAGCCATCATGATTCTTCAATTCATGGGGAAAAAATAGAAACCATTGTATATTATATAGAGGTGGCTCTCCAATCCTACTGAAAATTAAGAACCACTTATTGGAGGATTCTGAGGAAATGGTGGTGAAAATAGCAGTCTTTAAATTTTCCTACACCTCCCAGAATTTCAAAAAAACTCAGATTTTTAAATAAAGTATGTTTCAGGAATTATTATGATACATGTAAGTTAAAGTGCAGTTCTCATTAGTCATATTATAGCATGTCTACCTGACCATTCCCACTGTTTTTTTATTAATGTAAGTGAACGGTCATGTTGACAAGTAGGTTCAAGATGAGGTTGACAGCGAGAACTGGGTTCAAGTCAACACTCAGCAACTACTGATTATGAGATGCAGAACACATTATTTTACTTCTGCTCATTTCAGCTTTTCCATTGAGCCCAACCCAACTTCCAGGTTGACTGTGGAAATTAGAAGTTGCAATGCTCATGCTTGACAGAGTAACCAGCGTGTTGCAGCTCAAAAAATAGCAGCAGACCATGTTTGCTGGGCGGTCTTTGCAACAAACACTAAAATTGCTGCTACTCTCCACATGACTTTCTTAGGAAGCAAGAAGTGTCATCTCTTGCCTTTATTTTTTAAGTTAAATACAGAAGAAAAAAAACTTGACCTTTGATATACAGTTCTAAGAATTTTAACATATTTGTACAATTGTGTTATCACTGCCACTATAGAAACACAGAATTGTCTTATGACCTCCAAACGTTCCCTCCTGTTCTCTTGAATCATCGTCCACACCATCCACAATCACTGCTGTTTCGTTCTACTTTTGTTTTGTCTCAAGAATGTCATATAAATGGAGTCATATAGAATCTATTCTTTTGAAAGTGACTTTGCACTCAGTGGAATCATTTTGAAATTTCTGATTTCTCAATTGTTTGTTCCTTTTTTTTTTTGATTTTCTATTCTAGAGATGGACTCCAATCTGTTCTTTCATTCACCTGTTGGACATTCCTGATGTTTCCATAGTTGGCAATTTTAACTAGAGTTACCATAAATGCTAGAGAACAGGGATTTCATGAACATCATTCTCATTTTTCCAGGGGTGAAATTGCCAGCTCATTTGCTAAGTTTATGTCTAACTGTCTAACAACCTGCTAGACTGTTTTGAGAGTTCTGTGCCATTTTGCATTCTCTCCAGTGATGCATGAGAATTGTAGCTGCTTCACACCCTTATCAGCATTCAGTATTTCTTCTTTTTTTTCAGTCATTTCAGTAGGTGTGCAATGGTATTGTATCATGGTTTTGGTATGTGGGAGCATTTCTTCTCTGAAACTTTTTTGAAGAGTTTCAAAAGGATAGGTTCTAGATACTCACTGAAGTGTCTTCAGTGAAGGTACCTGCTCATGAACTTCTGTTCTTCAGGAGAATCTTCATTGCTCTTTCAATTTACTTATTTGTGGTTGGTCTGTTCAGGTGGTCTGTCTCAATCTGGTCAGTCTTAGAATGTCGTTTTATTCTAAACAGTTGACCACTTTTTCTAGGTTGTTGAATTGTTTGTATATCCAAGAAAGGAATACAAATATAAAAAGCAATTGCTTACATAAAGAAAATGTAAGAGAAAATGAGAGGAAAGAGTGAGGGACAGGAATAAACACTACAATTCTTTGAATAATACATTGTTTGAGTCAGCTAAATTTAGGACCCTGTAAATATTTTTGCATAATTATAAAACAAGACTGAATTTTTTAAAGAAATCCTTAAAATTTGTACAAAATGATACAAAACTGTTTATACTGCTGATAGTTTGCTCAAGGAGAAATATTATAAGTGACTTTGAAACAAAATATTTTGACTGTTTATTGGCATGCAAGCTAAAGACAAAAAGAATTGTTAAGAAATATCACAAACTGCTTTCAGAAATCCGATTGTTGGCAGTAGTATAGATGCTGTTATCTGAGACTGTTGTATATGTGTTTAGAATCAAATAAGTAATTATGCAGTGTCACTGAGAAGCAGAATTTGGAAAATTATACAAACTTAACATTGTTAAGATAATAGAAGGGCCCATCGCCCTTAATTATATTTCTCTCAGCTTTACTAAGATATAACTGCAAATAACATTGTGGTTAAATAACATTTATTTAAATAACATTTAAAGTATAAAACCTGTTATTTTTGTATACTTTCATATTGCAAAATGATGACCATAGCAGTCACCAAACATTAATTACTCTTTCTTTTGTAATATGAATATTTATCATCTACTCTAGTAGCAACTTTAAAATATACAATATAGTATTGTTAACTATAGGTTCAACACTGTATATGAGATGTCCAGAACTTATTGATAATGTAATTAGAAGTTTGTACTTTTGACCATCATCTCATTTCTCCAGCCTCTTAATTTCTGGAAACCATCATTCTATAAACCTTTTCTGATTTTTGTATTTTAGGTACCACATATAAATAATACACAACATTTGTCCTTCTTAAAAAATATATTTATTTATGCATATAGGAGTTGGGGTGCAGGCCAGAAGTGTGGGGGTGAGAGGATTCAGCAGAGACAAGGTGGGGAGCAGAACAGGCTGATCTACTAAAATACACTGCTGAGGGGAGCGGTGGGATGAAGGGCTTAAGTCGCAGCACTGGGAAGCTTACTGCAGCATGACTTTGATCCCCAGACAGGGAGGTGACCCATGCTTGTCCTTATCTGACATAGCATGGTAAATCAAGATCCATCCATGTTGTCACAAATGGCAGGATTTCCATATTTCACACGGATGATTCACATGGAATCTCCCTGGCTGATGTCCTTTGTGAGTTGATGATTTTCAAAGTGGGATCCTTTGATTTCTTCCTTGTTACCTTTTATGAATTTTCTGTAGATTTGCTCAGTGGTTACCAGGAGGTTTATAAAAATACATTATATGTATAGTAGTCTATTTTATGCTGATAACCTGGATCACATTCAACACGTCTACACTTTTACCCCCTTTATGAATTTGAGGTCACAATTATGTCTTTTAATATTTTATATTTATTAACAAATTAATAAATATATAATTATTTTTAATATTCTGTCATTCAACCTTTACAGAAAGTTAAGTTTTCAACATTCCACCATATTATGGTATTAGAGAATTCTGAATTTAACTATATACTTACACTTATGTGTTGTTTATTCTCATATTTTTTGTTGTTACTAATCAGTGTCCTTTCAGTTCTGCTTCAATAACTCCTTTCAACATTTCTTGTAAGGCAGATAACTATCTAATAATAACAAATTCCTTTAGCATTTGTTTCTGGAGTCTTTGTTTATCCATTGCTAAAGGACAGCTTTGTCAGGTAAAGTATTCTTGATTGGCTTTTTTTCTTTCTTTTAGCACTTTGAGTATACCTTCTCACTGTCTCCTGGCACCTGTGGTTTTTGCTAAGAAATTTGCTAATAGCCTATGGGAATTATCTTGTAAGTCACAAGTTTTGCATATCCTGATGCAATACTAATTGCTTTTTTATCCTTGATTTTTTAAAGTTCTATTATAAAATGTCTTGGAAAGAATGTACTTAAATTAATTTTGCTTAGTAATATATGAGCTTCATGAACTTGAATATACAAATCTTCCCCCAGATTGGGGGAGTTCTCAGCCATTATTTCTTTCTATAATTTTTCTGCAACCTTCTCCCTCTCTTCTTTTCTGGTACTCTAATTATTCATAGACAGCTTCTTTTGATAGTTTCTCATAGGTCACATGGGCTTTTTTCACTCATTCTATTCTTTTTCCTTTGTTGTCCTCTGTGTAGATCATTTCAGAGTTCCTGTTTTCTATGCCAGATTGTCTTTCTTCCATTTGAATCAGTCTTCTGTTGATGATCTCTATTGCATTTTTTCATTTTATTCATTGTATTCTTCAGTTCACAACTCCTGTTTGAGTCTTTATGTCTCCAATCTACTTGTTAAGTATCTCATTTGTTTTTTATTTTCCTGATTTTGCTAAGTGTTTTTCTGTGTTTCCTTGTAACTCACTGGTTTTATTTAAAAGAGCTACTTTAAATTCTTTGTTAGATAAATTCCAGGCTTCCATGTATTTGGGAGCAGCTACTAGATTATTGTGATCCTTTGGGGGTGTTGTTTTTCCCTGATTTTGTGTGATCCTTGATGACTTGCATTATTCTTTTCACATCTAAACTGCAGTCACTTCTTCCAGTGTTTACCTTTGAGAGAGTAATACGTTCCACCAGTCCTGCTAAAAAGTCTG